AAATAAAGCTTCAGAGGTACTATCATGATTTTTATCTCTATGCCTCATTTCATAATTCATCAAGGCATTTGACACATCTTCAAATTTCACAGTTTCTTTACCATGCATAATAGTGGTAACAAAATGCTCATAAGAGTCTGGTAAGGAATTCAACAATATTAAGGCCTTATCTTCATCCTTAATATCCTCATCTAAATTTAATAAGTCGACAATCAACTTATTAAAAGCATCAAGGTGTCTAATCATTTTTGTACCTTCTTTGTATTGGAAGTGGTAGAGCTTTTTCTTCAAGTGTAGCCGGTCTCTGCACTCTTTGTCATATACTTGTCTTCCAATTTTTGCCACAACACACTTGCTAATGTCTCCCGTATCACAAAATACTTTTGAGTTTTTGCAAGGCACAATCGAATTGAAGAGCAAGCCCACAAATTTAATTTCTCCCATTCTGGCTTCGACATAACTTCTGGCTTCTCTCCCAAAGCGGCAAGTAGATCTTGTTGAGCTAACACATCTTTGACCTCACATTGCCACATCCCGAAGTTATTTGTGCCATCAAACTTTTCCACTTCGAACTTTACATTTTACACCGTAGTTCTTGCAAACCCGGAGCTGCTTCCAAAATGATTCTCATCTTGCCCGTCTGACATCTTTGGCAACTAGACAGTACCCAAGAGCAACCAGTGCTCTGATACCAATTGTTGTGCTAGGATAGCACCAAACCCGTTGGAACCAACTCAAGCTAACCCACAGGAAATTTATCAAATGAAAATGCAAGAACAAAATATAAAAGACACCAAGATTTAACGAGGTTCCTCAACAGTTAGTGTAACTGGAGTACGTCCTCGGAGTAGTAGGAGCTCACCCAATAATCCACTATCAACCAAATGGGAGTTTACAAAGTGTTGGCAATCTCACAACCCAAATAACCCAATACACCCAATAGCTCTCACACACCACATAAACAAATAGAGAAAGAAATATAATGAATAATTTCTTCTCTATACATATAGCTCAAAGCTATTACAACAATAACTACTTTGGTGGATGATTACTAACCAAATAGAAGAGCACCTTCTTCTTCTTTTTTGCTCTCAATTTTATGCTCTCTGCAGCTCACTTTGCTCTCTCAAAGATGGGCTACTAAAACAGAAAAAATGGTGCACACTTTCTTCCTCTCTCTTACCTCCATATGCACACATTCATCCATTATAAACACCCAATAAACAAAACCAAAGTAAAGACATAATGATTACTTTACAAACGTCATCATGACCTTTCTTTTTTCTTTTCAACAAACATAATCATTTGTCTTTTTCTTTCTTTTGATTTGTTTAATAGCCGAAAGTTGTTTGGCCATAATTCAACAATCCATTCAGAAAATTCCGTACTTTTTTTTGTCCCTTTGGTAAACTTGTTTCACAAAATTCATTCATATATCACAATTTCCCGCTTAATAGAGGCATCAGAAACATGTCTTACTTCTCATATCCAAGGTCATGAGAGAGCACGACATCAGCTTCATCTTCACCAAGTGCATCTGCTATGCTTCTACTTGTCCATCCTTTGTCCAGTGATTGACCAATTTCATCATTCCCTAAACTGTTTGCCCAGTTTCTAGTTTCTTTCTTCAAATGGCCAAGCTCTTGCAATAAATACTCAGCATTAATGTAATGGCATTCTTTGCGAGTTTTCCAGAAGAGAACTTCCACAAAAAGTAGGGGTTGATTTTTCATTTTTTAAAGCATTTTTCTGACTAAACTTTTCAAAAAATCGACAATATTTTCATACACCTTGCATGGACATGACTTCTGCTCAGCTAGAATGCCATAGAATGTAGTGAGGAGTGATAACTGCAAAAGTTTTTCCATGAAAACTTCAGAGGAGAAATGAACTTGAAATGGGTGCTTAAAATTATATAAGGTTGATACATAAAGTTTGACCTGATACAACATCGGAGAGAGCCCCAGGTCATCACTTATCCTTCGCAGCATGCTGACTACGTAGTGATTTGTACTGGTCGAGTTACTCTTATAAACTTAAGCAACCAACACAACTTCTGGATGATGCTGTGGCTTGCAAAAGCAGAAATCAAAGTTGACACCTTAAAATCAACTTCATCAGTTGCAGCTACCTGCTCATCAGCAGAAGAATCGCCTGTGCTATAACCAAGATCACCATTGGCATAGTCAGAATCTCTGCGATCGATCCGTGCCAGGCTGTCTTCAATTTTTTCTGTCTCCAACAAAGATATTTTGCATTCATCAGGCTGATCAGGGATAATGGTGTCTTCTTTCCCATCAGAAATTGTGTTTAGGCTTCTGTTCTCCGTCACACACACTCACATCTGTTGATTGCTCTTCATTGGAGATTGCCAATCTCTATTTGAATGGTAGCATGTTCTCCTAAGAGTTTATTTTCTGTTTCCTTCTCAATCGGTGTTTTCTTCTTCCTCACTTTCCTAGATTTTTTAGAAACCTTAATCATAAAAGGAAATTGGTTTTAGTAGTGACTCTTTTTGTTTTTCCAAATTGTTTTAAGTAGAGAGACAATAATATTTGCCCCCTTTCCCCCTTCCAAAATTATGAATGCTACATACCCTCAAAGTTCCCTCTGCTTGAAGGTTTATGAGGAATCTGCTGGCAACAACTTAAGCACCAAATCTAGCATGCGAATCTGGTTAGTCAATAACCTGCATAGAGCTTTTTAGATATGGCAACTTAGTATGTGTCCTTCTAATGGGCCCCTAAAGTGCAATTGGTCCCTTTAAAAACTATGTCCTTCTAATGGGCCAGCTGGGCTTGGGTTCCAAGGCCCAAAGGCCTAGGTCCGTTGGTTTTGGGTTTTTAAATAAATAAATAAAGAAAGAAAAGGGTTGGGTTTGGGATTCAACAAGTTTGGGCTCGGGGTTTCACGGGCCTAAGGTCCGATTCTAATTGGCCCAAAGGCCTAAATGACAAGGGCTTGTATTCGGCTGCCCTAAGGTTTGGGCTCGGATGCAGCGGCCCAAAGGCCCTGGTTTGCTTGTTTTCGCCGGGGATGGAAGCCGGACAACACGAAGGAGAAAGCCATCCAGTCAGGAAGGACGGACAAAGTTTTGGAGTTCTTTGGAACGAATGGGAATGATTTGTTGCCAAGGGGCGAGGATTGGACTGCATGGTTTGGTGGGTTTGTCTTTTCGTCTTTCTATTTTGGTATGATGAAGCTACTGTCTTTCGTTGATTTACCTTTTTCATATGTAAAGAAACCAAACTCTGATCCTGAGTTTCGTATATACTTTTCAAAGGAATGGTACGAGGCCTTGCGTTTATCTGTGAGGAATTTCTTTAGTGAGATCTTCAATGGTACTCATATCCTTCAAAATTGTTTTTTATTTACATTTTTGTATATGTTGCGTCCAACTCCATAGACTTTTGATGTTATCAGAATTTCATAGCTACCATACGAAAACCAGTTTTGTTTGTACCAACCATGCTCTAATTTATTTTGAGTTTGTATATTTCAAGTGAAAACGAGGTTAGTTTTGCATTGGCTTTCAGAATCTTGGTTCCAGCAGGAAGCCATTTCCGCAAGAATTGATGGGGAAGGCATGGTTGTGTGTGTGCAGTTTGTGGGGTTACCCGGTCAGGAATGGGTTACTGAGGTAGGTATGGAAGAGTTTTGACTTCTCTGTTTCCTCCCTTGATTCAACAGGTAATGCACTGTTTCCTCCCTTGATCCTATTATGCTTTTGCTGCTGTATTTTGAGTTTGAAGAAAATGCCCTTAACTAAACCACGCATGCCAGCCCTTTTGAAAATCAGTTCAGAGAAGACTACTGTCAACCGTCTGAAAAAAGACATCAAGCTACTCAATCTCAAGCTGTCAGAACTTCAGGCTTTGTTGGAGGAAAAAGATGGTGAATTATGCCAGTTAAGAAGGTAAAGTTTTTCATTGTTTCAGCCCTTTAGAGTTGAGAGTGCCACGTTTTATATGTTGTATATACTTGGTGCTGGGGTTCGTCAGTATTTTGAGACTATCATGTTTTTCTCTCTTCCTTATTCCTTTATTTCATTTTTGAAAATCAGTAATTGTTCATCAGTAGCCTATGCAAGCACTGAACGAACCAGGAGTTCATCAAGTGTAGTGCATGAGCAAAATCGTCTTATATCTAAAGATACTCAGGAAACTTGCCCTCCTGATACTTTTCAAATAGGGGAAGCAGAGGTGGATCCAGATTGGGTTGTTGCTGGAAACATGAGAAGTAGACCAGAATTTAGCACATCTAAGTCGGATCCTAATTTAAGTTCTCAATCAAGTCCTCGCGTGATAGTATTCAGCAGTTCGAGGATGGCCCTATAATGGTAGGCAACTTCTATGTCTGAATTATTTTTCCTTCGTGTGGTGGGGATGGTTCAGTAGCTGTTATGGAGATTATCTGTTAAGTAACTATGGAATATGACTGCAGAAAATGGCAGGGAAAGCCATGTACAAGACTTCCCTGAAGTTAAGGTTAAGGTTGACTTCCAGGTAAATTTCTTCTAAGGCATGATTGGATCTTGATGCTATTCAATTCGTTGTGCTTTTGTAGTTTTCTTGCTCCCTTTTTTCTGGTACTTTTCTTCAGCTTCAGTTGTTTATGTTTTATTGGAGACTCCATAACTTTCAGATCATCGTTGCTTTTAGGAGACATTTTTGGGCCACACAAGTCCAATAACCAGGTTGATCTCTCACTCTTTTCTCCATACGTGTGTCTGAGTGGCTTCGTTGTGTATAGCATTTCCTGATTCTCGTGTTTCGAAGATCCAGGTGATGCACTGATCTTTTGCCTTTGGAAGTGGCACTGTAGAAATGAATAGTGTTTCGATAATTACGTTTTTGCCCATCACTGATTACAATCCAATGTGGGCATGGTTTATTCTGAAGGGCAGTTTTGTCCTCTCCAATTTGGGCGAGATGGGGGGGTCAGCGGGCAGCTATCATTTGGTCCCTTTCGATTAGGGTTTCGGGGAGGGCCTGCGAGAGACAGGGGGGGGGAGAGAGAGAGAGAGTCTGTAGGGTTTCGAATGGGTTGGGTGGGTTAGAGACTTTCATTTCCTGCTTTCTAAAGCTGCAGTGGGACTCGGTGAGCCCATGCCGTCGGGAGAGTGAGAGCGAGCGAGCAGAGAGAGAAGAGAGACAGGGAGGGAGAGAGATAGGGATTTGGTGAGAGGAAGGCATGCGGCTTGCAGGCAGACAGAGTCACAGGGGGTGTACGATTGGAGGGAGAGGGAGAGGGCGCGAAAGAGAGAGTGGGAGAGGGAGGAGTAAGGATCGCTCGCTGAGGGTTTCACAGTTGGGAGGCCATGCTGATGGAGATGGAGATAGAGATAGGAGAGGGAGAGGGAGAGAGGGAGACGGAGACAGAGAGCGACAGAGAGAGAAGGAAAGGGAAGAGTGGGGATCTCAGCGCCATTGCTGCAGATCCTTGATCTTCTTCGATCCCATCTCCGTGTTCTTCTCAGCCTCTCACAGTCGCAGCATCACTCGCCCACTCACTCACTCACTTACTCACTACAGGTACACCTCTTAAACTTTCGCTCACTCTCTCTCCACTGAAATTTGAAGGTGATTTTCCAACCCTAAATTGATATATTTCATACCTTTATTTTATCTTGATTTATCTGGAATTGATAGCTGTTGAGGTAATTATTAATCCATACTTCCGATTGTAATTTTTCTTTTTTCTGTGTTCAGTAAGTTTGATCAAATGGGTTTCTTTGGACTTGCATAAGTTGTGTATAATATCGCTTCAATCATTTATTGGCTTCCTTTTGTATTATTGAGTCTTGGGTTTTGCTGGAAATTGTATAAATTTTGACCAATTGCATAAATTATTGAGCTTTTGTTTGGTATTTTTATGGCTACTGTGCTAATTAGTTCATACCCAAAAAGGAGCAGATAATTAACTGCTCTAATCACTAATTCCCCACTCTAAGAACTTGAGACCTTGGACTGATATTTATTTCTGAGATTTATTATTTATTTTTGTATAAAATATTTAAAGGTGTTAAACTTATAGTGTAATTATAAAGTATGGGTCTTTGATTCCATATAAATTGCTGTTTATATTTGTGAATTCAAGAGGGGAGCATTTACATGTGGAGGCAACAAGGAGGGGTGGCTTTGAGAAGGTTGGGCTATTTATTTTATCTGTAGTTCTTCATTTCACTAAATTAAATATGAATTATTAATTTTTCAATTTTTAAAATGAAAGATAAAAGAAAATCATATGTACTTAATTATATATATGTGTGTGTATAGATAGTTTCAGAGAAGAAATGGAGGGAAGTGGGAGGTGTTTTCATGTTCTCCCAACACAACAAGTGCTTCATTTGTGCTAAGGAAACACTACTCAACCCTTCTCTGCCTTTACGAGCAGGTTCCTTCTCTCTCTCTGTATTTCTTTGGTGCTTACGTACATTAGTTCTAATGAATGTCTTTTCATTAGGCTGATGCTGATGGCAACGGAACCGACCATGATGAGTTCATCGCAGCAACAATGCACTCGAACTGGATGGATAAACATCTCTACACTACCTTCCAACACTTCGATAAAAGGAGAGATGTGAGATTTTTGAAACCGTTTTCATTTGGGTAAACTTAGTTTTCATTTTTTGTGGTGTCTATAGGGAGATTAGTTTTCTGTCAATTTTTTATTGAGATGTTTTTTTGGCAATCTGTAGTTTTGGATTTGTTTATGTTTCGTGCTTTTGTGTAACTGAACTAGGGTTTATTAAACTCAATCACTTCCTTTTATCCTCCTGCTTTGTTACGATACAACTCATGACGGTTTGTTTCTTTGATTGTTAATTTCAGAAGAGCAACTTTTTATGGGACAATGTGCCCTTTTTTTCTTAGATAAACAGGCTTTTCACTATCTTGCATGCTTTGGCAACAAGGATTAATAAAACTGCACGTCTATTATAGAGAGAGAGATAAATGTAGGGAGAAGTTGGAATTGGAGAGAGTGAGGGTGAGGGAGGGATGACGTTGCTTTCCAAAGATTTGTTTGGAATTGTTTCTCCAGTTCTTTGTATTTGTTTGGGATTGTTTCTTTTTTACTGAATTATTTTGGTCCCTGCCGCTAAAATCTGATTCCTGCTATTAATTGCTGCTGAAATATGACTTTTGTTATCAATTTTTGACCTTTCATATTTATGCTGCTTTGGGATTCCATTCGAATCAAATAATGTAGTTAATCTTGATATGAATTCTCTCTGCAACAATATTAGGGACTTTAGTTTAAATTATCACTAATTTGTTCTTGATTTGGCATTGAATCTTGGTTAATTTGGACTGCAGGTGGTTCTGATATAAAGGAGAAGCTGCAAGAGCTTATGATCTTGCTGCACTTAAGTACAACCGTTCTTTAACTCATATAAACTTTCCGGTAGGGTTCAAACTGTTAAGAGTTTTATGATTTTGTAAAAGCTTTAAGTAGCAGAAGCTTGGTCTATTTGCAGTTGCATTATTACACTATACAAAGCTAGCAGCAGCTTAACCCCATTCACAAATGCATATTTACTTTGTCCTTGGCGTCTACGCTTATTGCTGTCACTTCTCCTTTGTACTCTTTCTCCTTTTTGATGAAATTACGGTCTGCCCTCAATCTCCAACTTTCTTTTGCAGTTACACCCCTGTGCTCTCATAGAGGGAAGCTCATGGCTCACAGTGTCGCTTGGGCCAATCTCGGCCTCACTCACCCTTCTGACATCGATGCCCCAAAGGTATATTTCTCTCATCGCTTTCGGAATCTAGTATATATGTGTGTGTGTATATTTGCCAATGGAAATTTGTAATTTTGATTGTTCTCTGGTGTTGGTTTTGTGAAAAATGTTGAATGTGAATGATCATTGTCTAAGGGGAACATTATAATCCAAAGCTGTAACTTGAGTTTTGGAGTTAAACTCGAAAAAGCTTTAGTACTAAATATTATCGTGTATGAATGTGATTATAATCTAAAGCTGTAACTTGAGGTTTTGGAATGAAACTCAAAAGAGCTTTAATACTAGATATTATTGTGTATGAATGTGATACTTGATCTTACTATACACTGCAAATAAGTGATAAGAGATGGTGAGCCCGTTTTAAGTGTCATTTGTCTTCAGAAACTCAAATTTTGACTCTTTTGTATATATTGGTGGAAATGCAGAAATGGGTGCTCTTTGCCGCTGTCCTTATTTTATGTATTCAGTTGCATAGAGTCGACATGACATGCACAACGATGGTCAGATTGCCACCCTTGGTGGTATTATCTTTACAACACATTCAAATTGAGGATTTAGAAAATCTAATAATAAAACTCAAATATATGTTCCATGCTTTTTGTTTTCATTTTGGGTGAAAAGGTTGGAGCTTTGGATTGAGGTTTACCTTTAACCTATAATTTTGTGCGCAGGACATCATCTTGGGAGTCTTTAACATAATTATTCTTCTATTTCATGGATTCGAAATGTGTTTAGTATCTCATTTAATTGATGTACCTTTGCTCATTTAACTCAAATTTAATACGATTTGCTCCTCCAATTTCTCTGAATTGCTAATGGAATTATTTTCTTTGAAAATTTTAGGAACTCTGGTTGTGGGAGGAAGAAGCCAGTTCCTTACTATTTTTAGGTAAACTTATATGTGCCCTGATTGCATGTTCAAAGTCTAATTAGTTATATAAATTTTTTATTTATCTTTGCTAAGCTTTCGTACATGGATTTTAAATATGTGATTGAAATATGGATCATATTTTTGAAACTCTTTATCTCATTGTTTTTTGAGTAATTTTTTGGAAGTGAGGTTGAATACCAATTGGTGGTCTCTGTCTGAGATTTAGTTCTTTTTAAACACTCCTCATAGGCCATTATGATTGATAGTTTAATACGATAGCAGAAATGCAAATTTGTGCTCCTTTAGTTTATGTCTATTAAGTCGCTTTTGGAATTAACAATTACCATGCATCCAATTCTAGGACTTTATATTTACATGTAGGGAGTCGGGTTTTTTGATACAGAATGTAAGTGACCCCACTTCACGTACTCTGAAAGTATCTAAGCTTGGTAATGAATTTGACGGGCATGTCTGATGCCTTCTCAAACATGAATAGCCTGTGGGGTTTAAGATTGATATCAATTCCAAATTATGGAATTGATATCAAAGGCAAATTGTAAAATTGATATCAAAGCCAATAGTAAGTTTTTGGGGGCTTCTTGGTATGATAGTTATGTCTGTTCTGTGTTTGTTTTCTTTCCGTCTGTTCTTAGAGCGTACTCCTTATCCTTTGATATGTAATTTGTGTTGGCTTAAATGAAAGGTTTGTCTCTTCTCAAAAATGATGAATCCGACATGTTACTTTGTGGTCTTCTGATTGCTCTTCTATTTAATATCTTTTAAATCCCACTGTGTGTTCAAAGTGCTGGATGGGTTGTGCTTTTACCAACCCTAATAAAATTTTGTTTGAATCATGCTGTCTGATAACTCTGTTTTTCTTTTCCTGTTTGTGGTTTTTAGTCTTTGTCATTTAATTGGTGTAGCTTTGCTAGGATCTCTGTTCCGGCAGTGTGTGATTAGTGCTAATGGAATTTCAGCACTGTTTCTGAACTATTGTTCGAATTGTTGTATCTAAGTATGCATTATACATTCAATTGAGCCAATGAAGCATGTGTGCCAACGAATTTTGAAGAGTTCGGCTTGGTTTTCTCTCTTTGGTCTTTAATATTTAAGTGTGAGGCACCTGATTGTTGACTAATTGAGTCCCTTCTCTAAGTTTTTTAGTAGATACTGTGTAATTTGCTTTTATGAGCACTTCTTTATGCTGTCAAGTTCCCAAAATGTACAAGGAGATATCAAGTTTAACAAGTCACGAACTGTGATCAATCCAAATGCAGTGAAATTAGGGATTTTACACTTAAAAACTCAGTTAGCTTTAGACCATAGGATTAGCATTTTGCACCTGTGAGTATCATTGACCTGCTCATTTAATTTTTTTGGATAAGAAATAAACTGTCATTGAAGGGAGAAGAAAGTGTACAAAATAATGTTTCTGTAAGCTTGCACTCATATGCCTAATATTTTAATTTCTTTTCTTGGCATTACCTGTTGAAATGGCTGCCTACACTACAAGACACATATTATGTGTGAACTACATGTTTTTTCTGTTTCTTAAGGAAATATAACTTTTTTGGAAACCATATCTTTCTAATCAAAGACGTTCAGTTTCTTGCCACTCATTGTACAATGTGTTTATATGCCAGCTCACTTGAATGTGTATAAAAGCAAAACTGTTTTATCTTATTGATCTCATTCACTCATGTATCCCTCTAATTGTTCATAATTGTGTTGAATTTATTCAACTTAAATGTGTTTTATTCATCCGATTACGCCTAAAACAGCTGGTTCCCGTAACAGGGTGTAATTTCTAGTTGAATCTAAAAGAACGAAAGTTGAGCCACTCGAAATTTATTGAAACTTATATGATCGTTGTCGGAACCATATTACACACGGCTAGGACGCAACTTGGATAGGAATATCTGACTCCGAGCCAAAACATTCCAAAATATTTCGACCAATTAGAATCTGAAATTCCGAATCCGAAAAGAAAAAAAATCATATGGGAAGATCCGATCCGATTGAAAATCAAGGACGCACAGCATGACAGAGCAATCTATTATACATAATTCCCTTTAGACAAACAAGATAGTTGATGACAATTTATATCACCTTGCATCAGAATAAAAGAAAAAGAAGAAAACACTTCCGATATTACATTGAATCTAAAAGAACGAAAGTTGAGCCACTTGAAATTTAAATTTTAGAGTACGCTTCTGCCCCAACGAGAGCTACGGTATTACTTCTCGTCGACTTTTTTTTATTGATGATCCTTGTGGTTCCATATCTACAAAGTCAACAAAAAGTATCTTAAAATTAAAGGTAAATAAATAAAAAGCTTAAAAATAATGTTTCGGTAATCTTCTACCGAAATATCTCATTTAACTCAGAAAATACAAACGAATTTAACGGGTGGAGTTCGGAAGTACATAACAAATTAGGAGAGTAGGGCTTTACCGTTTACCTTTGAAATCTCCCCTGCAGCTTTGCCTTCACATGCAACGATCTTCACATAATCCGAGCTTTTATATCATCAAAGAACCGGAAATAGGCATACCTCCAAGACGTCTTAAGAACTAAAGTACCACAAACACTCCAGAATCCTATGATAAATCCAAGCGCCAAGCTAACATAAAATCCAAAGCTTATGAGACCATCATCATCTTGTTTGGTCTTCTCACTTCCACTGCCATTAGGGACTGCAGGATCTTCCGTTGTTACAGCTCCCGGGCATTCTGGTGTGAGCGGTTGCCCGCAAAGTCCAAGATTTCCCGTGAATTGAGAAGCATTAAAACTTTGAAGTTGAGTACTTAGGGGAATTCTTCCTGATAAGTTGTTGTATGACAAGTCCAAGACACTAAGATAATGTAAGCTCGAAAAACTCGGAGGAATGCTACCAGATATCTGGTTTCGTGACAAATCAAGCGATTCTAACATCTCCAGCTGACCAAAGTTGTTAGGAAGCACCCCAGTAAAATTGTTGCTTGACAGGTTCAGAGAAATCAACTTCAACAAGCTTGTTACACTTTCTGGAATGTCTCCGCTTAATTTGTTGCTCGAAATGTCAATGCTTCTCAAAAGCTTAAGATTTTCGCCAAACTCAATCAATATTCCTTTCCAAACCAGTTGCACAAACCCAAATACAGAGTCGTCCTCCACCTCGGGGGACATCGAAGACAAAGCTGTTATGTTAGGGAGGCAATGGGGCAAGGCTCCGGATAGATTGTTCTTGGAGAAGTCCAAAACATGAAGCGCAGGAAGACTGCATAGACTTAAAGGTATGTTTCCATAAAACTCATTCGACTTTAATCGAAGAACCAGCAACTTTGTTAGGCTCGGGCCTATCCATGTCGGTATCTTTCCAGATAGCTTATTGTCACCGAGGTCAAGAACTCTTAATTCTGTACAGTTCTCCAAAGAAGGCAATTCTCCCGAAAGTTTGTTATCCTGTAAGCGTAACAATACAACATCTTTTAAGTAGCCTAATGAGCTTGGAATTTTCCCGGAGAGAATATTCTTAGCCATGTTCAAGACGAACAAACTTCGAAACTGCATCCAACAAGTAGGAAGTTCGCCGGATAGCTGATTGTCGGAAAGGTCTAGATTAAACAAGTTTGGAGCTTCTGTTTTGCAAAAGGAAGATAAGGGTCCCGAAAACATGTTTTGGGAGAGACGCAGGATGGCTACACTTGAAGGAAACGGCGGAAGTGGGCCGTCCAAGAGATTAGATGACAAGTCAAAAGAAAAGAAGGTGCGGTTTTTTGTTGACAGAATTGGCAACTTTCCATGGATTTGGTTCATTGATAGGTTTAACTCGACGAAGCTGGTAGACAGATCCCAAAACTTATCAGGTATAGAATCCGAAATCTCAGCATCAGCCATGTAAAGTGAAGTAAGTTTTTTCTGAGTTTGAATCCATTTCGGAAAAGCAGGGCCAACCTTGCAAGAGGACAATCCTAGAGTTTTGATTTGGAAAGGCGGATTCCAATCCAAGCTAAAGTTGAAAGACAAAGGATTATGGGAAAATTCCAAAAAGTTTAAACGGGAGAGATTGGAGAAGTGCACTTCAGTTATGACACCATTTAAAGAATTCCAAGAAAGATCCAAATCTTCGAGGTTGGAAAGTTGGCCGATGCTCTCAGGTAGAGATCCGTTGAGTTGATTTTGGGAGACATATAACTGCCTTAACAACGAAAGACCTGTAAAATCAGGCAGTGATCCGGTGAACTGGTTTCTTAATAGGCTCAAGGATCTTAGCTGAGAGAGTGGCTGAAAACTTTTTGGAAGAGATCCACTTACGTTGGTGCCATCAATGTACAATACTTTCAAGGATGAAAATCTTGTAAGGTTGTCAGGACAAGAACCCGAAAACGGGTTCCCACTTAAACACAAGAACTCGAGGGTGTCTTGAGCACAAGACAAGTTTTCGACAGAGTCTTCAAGTCTGTCGGAAAGTGTGTTTCCCTCTAAATTCAACGACTCTAAGCTGCATAGGTTTCGAAATGATTTTGGTATCCCTCCTTCAAGTTTGTTATACAAGAGATCAAGAGACACGAGAGAAACCATGTTAGCAAAAACATCTGGGAAGGGACCTTGCAACTGATCACCAACTAAACCAATGTGAACAAGGTTGGTGCTGACATTGGCCATCCAATAAAATATTGAAAGATCAAGAATATTATCTGACAGTTCAAGGACTTGAAGAGAGTTTGAAGAATTGACAAAAGAAAGCGAACTCAGTTCAACATTGGGAAGATTACACGAAGATAACTGAAGCTCAACAAGTGAAGGGAGTTTGCTTATAGATTCTGGCCAATTTACAACCTCGGAAAAATTAAGACGCGACATATTCAAGTACCTCAAAGAAGAAAGATGAGATAACCACTCGAGATTTTCGAATGTGACATAGTTCCGTGCAAGATCAAGAGTATACAAACTAGAGAGATTTCCGAGTTGGGGAGGAATTGGTCCGCTAAGTTTAGCACCTGCTAGTTTGAGTTGTTCCAATCGACTCAAGGAACCGATGAACTTGGGAATTTCTCCTTGGAAATTATTGAAACTGAGGTCCAAGTAAGTTAGATATGGCAATTCAAGTAGAGGAGTAATCACACCACTTAGAGGAGTTCCAACATTAGAAATATCAGAATAATTGTAATAGAGATCTAGTGTGACGACATGACCTGTTTCGTTGTTGCAAGCGATTCTCCAGTCGCAACAATCTTTGCCGGTTTCCCAAGAGGCAAGAACGTTGGACTCGTCGATGAGGCCCTGTTTGAACTGAAGCAGAGCGGTTTTTTCTGCTTGTAAGCACCTGATGTTGGAACTGATTCCAGCACCCAGACAGCATTTGGCAGATGTAAGAGCGAACAAGACAGAATATATGATTGTGAGCAACATGGTATGTGAAATTGTGAATTGAATTGTATGTAGATTTGGGAGCGAAAAGCAAGAGATGTTGCTTTATAGACTGATCCTTTTTTGTCGTTCTGTGGACGTTGACAAAAACCATGCAGAGGAGGAAAAGTGGTAGAGAAAAGGAGGGAAAGAGGTAAAGAAAGAGAAATGAGGATGAGGATCCTGTCTAGATCCTCACATACCATTTGTTCATTGAACATCGTGTAGTCAGAAATCATTAAAAATTATTTGCGTTTAATTTTAAATAAAATATTTAAAATAATTTATGGTTGCACGATGTACGATAAAAGCCTCCTCATCCGAGAAAAAGAGGGAAATGTTGTAAACATTGGTGGATGAATGAATGCCCACACAGTAATGTGGACTTGGGAAAAAAATGATGATTGCATTTGTGTGATACTTTCAAAAAGTGTGTGCTATGCTTTTCAAGATGTAATTATTATATTTGTTTGGAGTTGTTCTATAAATAGAGCACTCCGTATGCTATCAAAACACACTGCAAAAAAAAATATTAATAACATCAGTATCTCTTCCTCTCTATTTTATTCTATCAAAACAAGACAGATTATATGATTGTGAGCCACATGGTATGTGAAATGGTGAATTGAATTGTATGTGGATTTGGGAGTGAAAAGCAAGAGATGTTGTTTTATAGATTGATCCTTTGTTGTCGTTAAGATGCAGTCGTAGAAAAACAAAGCAAAGATGAGGAAAAGTAGTAGAGAAAAAGAGATTTTGGGGGGGGGGGGGGGGGGGGGGGAGTGCTAAAGAAAAAGAGGATAAGAGTAAGACCATATCTAATTCTTGAGTTAAAACTTAAAATTTTTAACCTAAAAAATTGAGGTTTTAACTCCAAAATTTTGACCCAACATTATTAAAGAATGAATTTAACGTATTTTTTTTTCTTAAAGTAACTTTTTTTTTAAACAAATTATGTAGATTATCTTAATTTAATTTTATGAACATTTTAACTTGAAAATATTTTGATTCCAATAAATATTAAAAAATTACTAAACCAACACCATGAAGCTTATGGAATACTATGAAAGAATATGAAACACATAAAAGAATTTTTTTTTTTAAATTATTTTAGTTGTTGGATTTAAATTTGGACTGTTATATATTTTTTACTGTTGGATTTAATCATATTAGATTTTAATTATTGGATTCAATGAATTCATAAAACATAAAACTACAAAAACAAGACACATATATGGTGGGCCAGCCCACTAACCCAAGGGAAATCCTGGGCTAAATCTGCCCCCAAAATGAG